TCTTCTTTAAACCCTGCACTTCAGAGGCTTGGGAATTGCATTTATGTATGTTGAAGCTGATTAGCTGACATGATCTCTTTCTTTTCAACAAATAAAACATGAAACTTCAATCTCAAAAACAAAATTAAAGTAACTGCTTTAGAATTTGTAATGAAGCAGCTTAACGCAAGTAACATTTATTTTGCTAAGTTTATTTTCGTTTATAACAATTTTTAGTCACTAACTTGAGAAACCTAAAGGTAATCTTAAACAACTGGAATGATGTTGCATGATTAACTAAACCAGAAGAATCTGTTATAGAGTAAAAAAAAATTTTTTTAATTTATAATAAATACTGAAAAAGTATCATCACAAAGTGGTGCATTTGATCATCAACGAAGGGCTCAGCAGACGCAACCAAACCAAACATTTCTAACAAAAGAAAGAGGTCATTGCACTGGTTGTCATGACAGACACACAAGAGAGAAAATTGTCTTCTGATCTCCATCCCACTACTACAACCCAGACGTGTGACAAGAGCCACGTGCACAGTGCAGTGGCCGTCATGCGTTACCTGTGTTTCTGTTACACTTAAGGCCCTACTGCTTGAGTAAGGGCCTGGTTATTAAAAAACAAAACAGAACCCTGAAACACAAAAACCAACCAAACAAAAACCAAAGTTTATACCTTTGAAATATTTAAAATTCAGCTTTATTCATTGATTTTCCTCAGAAATACCTATATTCCTGGGGTATCTTCACCCACACGAACGTGGCTCAAGCACGCCTCCCCCCCTTGCCCCGATCCTGGCACCCCTCTCTCTGACCACTTACAGACCCCTTGTCTGTAGTACAAGCAACGGCCTCTCCACTATAGTTCTAACTGAGCTCCAGAACGTGTGCTTACACGTTTCCTAAAAACTTAGGCTAAAAAAATTACTCTAGGCCCTCAGAGAAATGTGCCCAAGGAAATGCACTGTTCTGCTAGATATTTTTGTAAGTCCGTTAACCTTATACTTATTTTTATAGAGAAACTTTGTCTAGATTTCAGAGATAAACTCTGCATGTATTCAACATCAACTGTAACTGTGCCCCTACTGGAGATGATCTGATAACTACATTTCCTCCTACAAGGAGATTGGAAGGAGGGCCTGGTACCCCGTCATCACGAGCTGAGAACTGTCTGAAGGCATCTAGACCCCCATTCTTCCTGCTTGCTGGCCTCCATGCCCCTTACCCAAAACCACCTAGGAGTGCGTCCAGGACAGTTCACAGTGACCAGCTCACAGCAAGCGTCTAGGAGTCCAGCAACTCTCAAGGTCACTGCTCGCTCGGGGGGGGGGGGGTCCCTGCCTTTCCTCCTCCTGTTTCCGCGCGTGGAGTGCATTCCTCCAAGCCCCAGCACCTCTCCATACCTTGCTCGGGCATCCGATTCATTTAAAGACAATCACTAAGCACTATGTCCCAGACAATAAACGACAAATAAAACACGTCTTTGCCTATGATGGGGTCAGGGTCTAGTGGACAAGAAGGTTTCTAAAATCATTACATCTATTTAAAGACTATTCACAATAGTGAGACATATGGTGGGCTAGAGAACTCCGAGGAAGAAGAGTCCTGGAGTAGCCAGGGAAGGCTTCTAGGAGGTGGTGGCATCTGAAGCCAGTCTTGAAGATCAGGTAAGAACTTTTCAGTTATGAATGTAAATAGGGGAATCAGACAGTCCCACTTTCTCCATCTTCCGAAGTGATTCTTCATCTGTACCTGGGGTAACCTTCCTTACATTGTTATTGAAAGGCAATATAGCCTAGAGGACAATAATGACCTGAGTTCAATCCTAGCTCCATCATTTTCAAGTTGTGTGACACTGAACAAGTGTGTTCACCTCTCTGAATTTCTTTCCTGCTATCTGTGAAATGGGGAGACGACAAAGACCTCGTGAGATCGTCGTAGGGATTAATGAGATAATACCTAACGCTGTGCACAGCACGCTGAGAACCTAATAGAGACCCGTCCCCTCTTCGCTGTGTGTGACCTCGCCTGCCCTGCTGTCTGCCACTCTGGCTGCCACTGGGTTTGCCAAGTCCCTGCTTCAGCGCTCGCTGTCGAGCACTGTGTGCGTTCAGTCACCTGCTCAGAGAGACTCCTCTTGACCCCAGCTTTAAACAGTCCCACCCCTCGCTCTCCATGTGCCTGCTTTATTTTAACTCAGCGCCCGTCTGTCTCCTCCACAGAACGCCAGCTCCACAAGGGGAGGGCCTGGCTTTGTTCACTATCGCACCCCAGCATCTGGAACAGTGCCTGGCACGCAGCAGGGACTCAGATGTATCTGTGGACAGAATTACTGTAAAACGGGAAACGTAAAACTGGAGTAGTATCCACCTTGCAGGGTTTGCTGGGGCCAAACGAGATGGACCCTGACAGAAAAACAAGTCGTCACGGCCGGCACACAGACTGAGCCTCAGCCACCGCCCACCAGCCTGGAGACAGATCAGCTTGCGGTGGGGGACAGACGGGGCGCTCTGCAGGGTCTGGGGTGGGGGGCGGGGGTGGTCTCCCCTCAGTGTCAGCGCCACACCCACGTGGTGCCGGGTTTCCAGGCTGCTAGGTAAGGAAAAACCCCGGGGTTTAGCAACAGTACCGGCTTTCTTGGTGTCAACTTGATAACCTATGGGCGACGTGCAAGACACAGCTCCTGGCTGGCCAGGCTGCTGAGATGTTCTTCTCTAGTCTTTGTGGAAGACACAGATAAAGCACACTGTGAGTCTACTTCCACAAAGAGAGCAAGCCACAGGCGGGCTGACGAAGGGCCAACAGGAATCTAAGAAGTCAGGCCCGTCACTGAATAGCCACAGACGCTGAGAGACCCTCCCGGCCTGTCTCGGTGAACCGCCAAAGCGGTGGTCACGCGTGAAACAGCATCACTGACTCTAAAGAACGGAAGACCTTGACAAGTGACAATGGAAAGGACGTGCCGGACGGTGGAGCAGCTCAAGCAGAAGGACAGAGGGAAGGAGGCAGGGCGGAGGGCTGGACGCCCGACTTTGTTTGGCTGAAGAGCAATGTGGGGGAGGGATGGCAAGGCAGGCTGTGCACAGACCACGGGAGGCCTCTGGGGGCTGAGCTGAGGGGCCGAAACTTCTCTGACGGACTGTGAGTCATTCCTGGAGCTCCTGCCCAGGGAAGTGCCTATTTAAATTCAGTAAAGGTGGTAGCCATCAGGCAGCTACTGTGGAGAAGGGGCAGAAGCATAAACTTCCAGCCAAGGGATAACCAGGGAGAAGCAAGGAAGGCGGACTCAGAAAGGAGGGGTTGGCCGGGAGAGGTGACACCGGCAGGTGCTGTGAGGAGCAGCTCTGAAAAACCTCCTCTGAGGATGCCAGGAAATGGAAGGAACAAGACCTGAAGCTTCTGCGAGGCCTGCTGTGTTTCATCACTAGCTGGAGTCACGACGCGCCCAACAGGGCGCGTCAGCTCTGCATCACGCGGAGCAGCTGTGAAGCACGCGTGCGGCAGCCACGGTGGTGAGGGCCACCAGTGCCTCCCGGGCCTCACTCCCAAGTCTGCTTCCCGTCTGGCAAGGAGAGGGCCAGAGCGCTTATGAATTGCTCAAAGCTGGCTCAATCTCGCCTCTTCCATGGAACACGCCACAGAACGGCCTTTGACGCCCACCGACTGACAGGGTCCTTCACCACATCGCCGCTCTGGCATGGGGTGGCCCCTCCCGCCCCGCCAGAGGGCCTGCTCTCTGCCTGCTCCACCTCCTGCTCCGCCACAGACGGGACATGAGCGCGCTTAGCGGCCCCGCGTCACCGCGGGGGTTCAGAGAGCCCAGTGGAGGCGGTGTGTGTGCCGGCAACCCTGCAGCCCGCCGGGCATCTGGCACTGCCCAGCAGTACCAGCTCCAGCCTTAACACCACTCTCCCCCATCAGGAAGGGATCAGTTTCCTGAGCCGCAGTGCTCCGGCCCACACACACCTGCCCCACGCGGTTCATCACTGGAGCATCTTTGCTAAGCATATGGATACGAGCACAGATATTTCTTGAGAAGGGGGCTGTGAGAAGTTTGTGGACAATAAAAAAAAAATAAGCAATTCTATTTGTACACTGGAATACTAGAAAATAATTCAGTCATCAACGAGGCAAAAGCACAAAACTAAATTTTAGGTAAAAATTAACTCAAGGTAAATTAAACTAACAGGAGTTAGATTTCTTCTAAGTCAGATTGTCAGATACTAGAGTTTTAGGAAGCTATATTTTAGAAATGTGACACACATAAGAACATATATGTGTGTATGGATATACATGTATACACATACATGTATAAATATACACGTATAGTATATGTATCAATATTTTAAGATGCCACACCTGGGTCCACAGAAGATGCTTTTTGCTTTTTCCCCACCTTTCCTCTATTTTTCACATTTTTAAATGGGGAAAAAAGGCACATGTATTTTGAAAACATACCAAGGAAAGCACCACACTCATCACACCAGCAAATAGTTAAGATAATGCTATGTCAACATCTTAACTATATTTTTAAAAAAGCAATATTCAAACACTGTTTTATGTTAATTGTTAAAGACAAAAGCTGTTTAAAAAAGTTTCACATTTCCTGAACTTCAAAAAATAATAAATATACAAAGTATATTATGTTAATTTCTGCTGCATTACAAAGATAAGTTATAATTGCAGTTTCAAAAGTAAAAATTTTCCCTCTAAATATATTTAACATGGAATTAAAACTGAAAAATAACTTGGAATTCTATACAATCCTGTGAGTAATCTAGTATTATACACGTATGTCTCATATTAAAAAAATCAGTGAGCTATATTTAAACCTATTTCATGATGGTAAAATTATGCAAATTTTAAAAATTATTAATAATTTTAATGTTTAATTTTTGTAAGCTATTCTAGAAAGAAGTAATCCTAATAAAAATGAGCAGACGTCTAACACATGGCGATTTCCTACCACCGTGGTGGGCCCCTCTGCCTGACGCCCGTGTGGCCTCTTACCTGACACAGAGACAGCGTGGGTCCGAACGCCCTGCTTCTCGCTGTTGGCCAGCCTGGAACAGAGGTGCAAAGCCGTGAGTGCCATGCTCTTCAGACCACACCGCCAGCATTCATTCAAACCGTGAGCTGCCCAGAATCAGGACGACTGTGCCATTTCCCAGGGAGACTGCACAGTCTAGAGCGGTGATTTTGTAAAACACTGGATTCTACCACCTGAGGCCCTTAAAGTCACCAGACTGCTTTAATGTTTTAAAGACCAGAAATTAAGACAGAGAAGTGAAGGAACGCTGAACTATAACATGACTGAATGTGGTGTACGTGGCTTAGATTAACTTTAATTTAGATGCTGGACTGCAAGGGAGTGGCCGAAGTTATATCACAGAGGGAACGATGCCTGGGACTGAGATGCGAATGTGAAACACTGTTACACGACTAGCCCTGCTTCAATTTCGAGCATGTCCAAGAGCAGACAGCACATGTACATATATTGTTATTATTTACAGACTGAAACAAGGTAAGCTTAACGCATCCGGTTATTTGTTTCATGAAACGGCTCGACAACGTTAGTGTTTTACATACACACCCACATAAAATAACATTTTGGCCAAAGGTTTCAGTGACGTTTTAAAAAAATCCAAGTACGGTTCAGTTTAAAATTTTTGGAAAAGCGTAAAACAGAGAAAAAAGGAACCCTATAGTCTTTATTTATTTTTTAAAAAATTTTTGTTGCATTTCTTTAATTAATTTATTTATTTTTAAATCTATCTATTTTTGGCTGCTTTGGTTTTTCGTTGCTGTGCACGGCTTTCTCTAGTTGCGGTGAGCAGGGGCTACTCTTTGCTGCGGTGCACAGGCTTCTCATTGTGGTGGCTTCTTTTATTGTGGAGCACGGGCTCTAGGTGTGTGGGCTTCAGTAGTTGTGGCACGTGGGCTCAGCAGTTGTGGCTCGTGGGCTCTAGAGCACACGCTCAGTAGTTGTGGCGCATGGGCTTAGGTGTTCCGCAGCATGGGGGATCTTCCCGGACCGCGGCTCCAACCCGTGTCGCCTGCATTGGCAGGCGGATTCTTAACCACTGTGCCACCAGGGAAGCCCAGAACCCTATAGTCTTTAGATGTCAAAGTCACTTTGCTCTTTTTATAAAAGAAAACTTTTCCTGCTACATAAGCCTTTACTCTAGAAGTACTAAATAAGAATTTTTCCTAGTATATAGAATTTATATTAGGTAATACGGGAGCTTAAAATAGTATATCCCCATTGAGAACTAGAAATATTCAATATGCAACTACATAACCTCTATAACTAAGGGTTACAGCACAAAGCCATAGCCCTGAGTTCCTTTTATGGAATTCTCTAAATATGTGAAATGGTATCTTTATTATAAAAGTTTAACCAAAGTTGTTTTCTAACAAATCACCAGTTCCTCTTCTATTGCAGCTCCACGACCTATTCTCACCATCTCTGAACTACATTTCTCAGGAGGTCCCAGGTGCACACATTCATAATAAGCAGGTTGCATCACCTGCCTCTGTATCCTGTTGATAGGACACCAGGGTCTTCCTTGGCTGCGGGCTGGGATGCTACTTCAAACCAACTTACAACTGCAGGGATACCTGCACCTCTCTGATCAGTGGCAATAACAGGTCTGCTGCTCTATGATTTGTGGAAATTCTGCTCTTTTAAAGTTTGCTTTATTTGTTCAGTTTTTCTAGGATTTGTTAGCACTTCTAACCGACTCCCTTCTTCCTGACTTTTTTATCTGTGTTATGATTCCAGTGTGTTTTGATCCTCAAAGTCATCTCTTAAGACTTTCCACAATTGAAGATACTCTGAGCGTTAGTTCCTTGCCTGAAATGGGACATTAACAAATATCTATTAAATATTGTTGAGTTTGTGAAACACAAGGCCTAAAAGCTAAGAGAAAGCTGGTCTCGCCCATCCCTCCACTCGCCTGCCCAGCTACTGTGTACCTCCTGTGTGCCAGATACGGCCCAGTGTCGGGTCTACCACGTCATGTGACCCTGGCCGTCAACGAGGCCACAGGGTGTGAGCAGCAGAGAGGTAACTGTTTAATGTGAGATAAGTTACAGGAAAACACACAGGGCTGCTCCTGGGACTGGGGTGGTGGGAGGTTTCCAGAGGCAGGGATGCAGGATAAGATTTGAGCAGGCCCCTGCTGAGGACAAGGCCGGAGGGAAGGAAGGACTCCAGGAACTGAAGGCAGTTCAGTGTGAACGAAGAGTGAGCACGAGGAACGGGAGGTGAGGCCGGAAGAGCCAGCAGGAACCGTCGTGCAGCCTCCCGCCGGCTGGCTGAAGGATGTGGGCCTGAATCTAAGAGCAGCAGCGGTCATGCGAGGGGTTCGAGAGGAAAAGTCCCTTCTGCTGTTGTAGAGAATGGATGGGACGGTAGGCAACATGGGACAGGCAAAGATGGGTAGGAGGTGTGCAGGAAAATGGGAACCCAGAAGACCTGAGACTGCTGTCCTTTGAGGTGGGCCCTTGGCTGGTGTTGAGGAGGGCTCCCACCAACCCCTAACTAGTAAGTGTGGTTCACTGTCCTTACAGTGTTTGTACAAGTAATATGGTTCATGCTGAACTCTTGCCTTCCTTCTGGGAGTCTGCAATTTGGGTACACGCCAAGCAAAGTGTGCATACGTGACCAGGCCCCCATAAAAGCTGGGGCACCGAGTCTCTAACTAGCTTCCCTGGTAGACAACACTCCACGGCATCACACCTCATTCCCGAGGATCAGGTGCGCCCTACCTGAGTCCCTGAGAGAGGGCTCTTGGGAGCCTGCCCCTGGCTCCCTCGGGACTTCATGCCACTGCTCTCGGCCTGGCCAGTTTTGCTCTGCGTTCCCTGGCAGCCATACATCACAGCTGAGAGTACGGTTACGTGCTGAGTCCTGGGAGTTCTTTCTAGAGAATCACTGAATGGGGCAGTCTTAGGGACCTCGACACAGGAGTCTACTGCAGGAGCCCAGACAGGTGATAACAGCTAAGAACCGGGGAGGGATGGCGGGAATGTCAAGTGGATGGATCTGATAGTTAGGAAGCAGAAAGGAAGGAATTGGCGGCAGACCGGTGATAGAGAGAGAGTGACAGAACAGAGGTGACGCCCAGGTTCCACCCTCTCTGTCCCTATATGCAGTGGCCTCTCAGGTGCTGTATTCTCTGCAGGTGCCTTGGATTCTCTTCAAATCTCTCTCTGAGTGCTCAGCACGCAGCTGTAATTGTTTATTTACCTGTATATCTGAATGTCCAGATTGTAATTTTCATTTGGTCCCCAATTCCTAGCACAATGGCTGAGAACAGAGAAGCTTTGGCATTCTTTTCCTTGTACAGATTGAAACATCTACTATGAAATTCATGACATAAACAAATTTAAAAATTAACATAAATTACATATCTTTAATTTTCTCACTTGTAAAATAGCCAGAATGGTATCTATTTTCAGGTTCTTATAAATATTGTCACTGACTATAAAGTGACTGTTTGACAACAGACCTCCCTCATACGATCTCACTGCTATTCTCGAGCTCCCTGCTGAACTTAAAGGGAAAATTCATTGTACACTTTTGATTAAACCTAACTACATGATTTAAAATTGATTTGATTTCTTTCTGGAAACATTTGTTTTCTAGTTTCCTAATCATATACGTAGAAATTTGATTACTCAGGCAAATGGATAATAAAGCACAGTGAGTTCCTCCCAGTTTCTAATGCACAGGAATCACAAGACACACAAAGCAGTACTTACTTTGGTATCGACGGCAAAGCCCGTTCACCTTCTGGGGAAAAAAACAGAAAGAGAGAGATGAGATTCCTTCTTTCCTTTTGAAAAGATTATGTATAGAAATCAGAGAAAGAAGATGAGTCTTATTTCAGAATTTTAGCAATAACCCTTTAAAATGAAGTTGGTATACTGCCTATCTATCTTAGGTTTCCATGGCTTTATTTTTAGTATTTATGACAAATATACACTGTCTGCAGGTGCAGACTATATAAAAGGTATTGCCAATCAAAACCAAATGCTAAGGGATAAACTGATGAAAGATATTCTTCCCAGGAGACTCTAGAAGATGAAGATGTTCTCATAATCAAAGCCAACATTCTTTACCAAAGACTGAACGTCCTGCGGCAACACCAAAACCTGTGCAGGACTGTGCTCCGCAACAAGAGAGGCCGCGATAGTGAGAGGTCCACGCACCGCGACGAAGAGTGGCCCCCGCTTGCCACAACTAGAGAAAGCCCTCACACAGAAACGAAGACTCAACACAGCAAAAATAAATAAATTAATAAACTCCTACCCCCAACATCTTCTTTAAAAAACAAAAAACAAACCTGTGCAGGACACACAGAAATCCAAAGGAAACAAACCCACAGGTTGTGTTCCTGGAGGAACAGGGGCAGCCAAGGGGCCCAGCAGCAGCCTCAGAGGCGTGGCCTGAAGTGTCCTGTGGACTCGACTTCGGGAGGTGCTGAGGCCCCCATGACGGTGGCAGACTCCCCCGTCACGGCTGGGCTCTGGCCAGCGCATCACAGGGAAGCTCTGCTCAGTGGCTGGGGAGATGTGCTCCCTCCCCTTCATTAGTGAACCAGGAAGCATGGAGCCCCCTGGTTTAATCTCTTTTATCTGGATGAATCTGGTGGTAAACCCATCCCACCAGTCCCCTCGCTCCCCAGGCCACGGATTACCCTTGTCCAGGTCTCCTGTCCCTCCTCCTATCCCCGGTCCCGGTCCCGTATGGCCCTGAACACAGCATGATGCCTTCACACATTCCATCTCTTGAAAGATTCTCTTCCTTCTGGTGGAAGCATCATCCCTCAATCTTTCAAAGCTCAATTCAAGCTCAACCTCCTCTAAGGAGCCCTTCCTGGAACACCCCAAGTGGCTCTGGATGGCCTTCCTGTGCTTCTGCTGCATTAGCAGAGCGCTTCCCACGTATCAGACGACTTAGCAGGTCAGACTTGACCCGCCCACAGGCCACCCCCCACACTGGCAGAGGACCTGGCACTCACAGCCACTGCATAATACCCAATACACTGCAGAAACTGCATCCAAATTTCCTCACTATGACTTTCTGACATCCAAATTTCAAGCAAAATAACCACGTTATACCATGAAGACCAAACTTAGAATAACTGGAAAATCCTATCATTAGTTTATTACCCCATGGATGCTACCACCGCCACCTTACCCACACTCAATACTGTCAACCATATGGGCTTTCAAATGACATGTCAGTGTGATTTCTAGCTGTTTCACTCTCTCTGTTGAAATTTCTACTTCCTTGGAGAGAAAAAGGAACCAGATTATGAACTATTTGGTTAATACAGACTTTATAAGAAGCTGGGCAGCAGTAGGAAGAAGGCTGAAAATGAGGCGATTAACAACTGAAGGAGCGTAAGAGTCAATTTTCAGGAAACAAGAACGTAGCAGAACATTGAGAGAAATGGCAACAGATGCGATAAGCAGCAGCATTATAAAAATCCCCAAGTGCTCACCAACTAAAATGCCCAATGCTAGGAGCTAACTTTTGACACTGCTTTAAATTTATAAGTTGAATGAGTAACATATGCTTTCTCATGGCATTCACGTGGTCTCTTATTTCTCAGCATAAATTCCTTAGGATTAAGGATGCATCTTTGTATTAAACCACATTTTTATTTTCATTTTTAGAACTGAGGCTTTTAATTTTTGAATAAAAGTTTTTATTGTTTTTTAATTAAATAATCAATACAGATTCACTGTAACAAATCTAAATCATAAAGGTCTATAATGTAGACAAAAAAAAGTAGACAAGTTGAAGCCCCCCCCACCTTCACATACAATTCCACCTTCCGTAGGGGTATTCACTGTCCACATTTAACTTTCCAGACTACCAGACTCCTCGTATGCTTATAAACACACACAGGTTTGGCTATACACACACACGTGCATGTAGGTTTCAGCACGGAAATAGGGCCAGCTCGTCTTTTAAAACAGCTGCACGGCATCTCACACTCCCTTATTTATTAGCTACTAGCTCCACCCCCGTAGACACCGGGGTCGTTCCACATTTTGTGCTACCGAAGACAGTGCAGCAGGGGCGCCGCATCAGTGGTCCTGCGCGGCTGTTTCCAGGAGGGGCCGGCAGTGCCAGGAGCAACCGAAAGCACTGTCCCAACTCACGCCGACACAGTGGAGTGTGGAGGGCACCTCGCAACAGCCCCACCAAGAATGGGTATCACGGTCTTTCCACCCATCTAACAACAGGTTAACAGACACAGAATGCTACCTGTCACTGTCTGTGTCCATAAGCTTACCGGACAGTGTATGTCCGTTCTTCTACAGGTGCCCATTTTTACCCTCTTATTCAATGAGCTAGAAGAACACTTGAAAAATAAGAGATTTTAATTCTTTATTGTATGTATTACAGATGTTTCCCCTTCTGTGTCACGGCTTTAAAAAGCATTTCTTTTACTAGTAGAAGCGCTTTCATACTTATGTACTGATGAACTCTACGGATTTGCTCTCCGTGCCTTCTGGGTTTTGGGTCAGGCTTAGGAGCAGCCCCACCCTCACAATGTGCAGTATTTACCATCATCCTCCGTACAGAAACCCTCCTTGAGAACGATGAAATTATGACCCTGATTCGCACAATTCTTTCCTCTGAGGAGAATTTTACTAAGATTGAAAAATTGCTACTGAGCTTTCTTGCAAGTAAAGGAAAGGTCAGATAACGCCCCACGATAAGGGCCAAGGTCACACAGCGACTCTGCTGGAACCTGGTTCAGGGCATCGGACTTGTGACTCTTAGTTTTCTGCCCCAATGATACCACATTTAAAAGCACTTTCTAACTTCAAAGCAATTATGGTGGATCACAGAGTTAACAAAGTGCATCTGGGCACATCAGACCTCAGGTGTAGAACTTACACGTCACTATAACTGTTAACACTCGCAAACGTGTACATGCTCCTTACCATTAAGCAGTTTATAGTCTAGAGAGGACAAATGGGTACGTACATAATTGTTACTTAAAGTACATACCAGGAAAATGGTACATTAGAGTGTGGAAACATGTTTCACATTTATTTGAAATTTAAAAAAAAACTAAATTAAAAAATGCACATGTGCTCTTGTCCATGTATTTCTGACTATAATCCATTAAAACATCTGACTTAAAATATTATTTCAATTAGGCAATATAAACTCACTTTAGGTATCATAAAACAGTCATGTAGTAAGTACATATGCTGTGATTTAGAATAAAGTAAATAAATTATCAGACTCAATAATGAATTCTATAAAGACAACATAAAATTGGTAACAACCAATGCCCTACTAGGTTTTTATGAGAAGCATTTTCATTTATGCTGTTTTCATATGAACGAAGAATTTAATGCATCTCATTTCATGAGATTTGATATCAAAATGTTTCTCCCTAGAGGGGAAAAAAAGCCAATTAAAAACCAACACAGGAAGATGTTAAAGCTTCAAACATTTAATGCCTAATGTCTGAATGTTATTTTTTTGTGTACCAACAAATTAATGAAGAACATTTTGGTAAATCAGGATGAAATTTAAAAATTATTCACTAAAAAGAAGACAGGCGATATGGCACATTTAACACTTTTCACAGAATACTATCTTTATATGAAACAACTGTCCCCAAACATTTAAACAATGTTTGCAAGGCGCATATCCCCACTTAAAGCACAATAATAATGTTTGCAAGGTGCATATCCCCACGTAAAGCACCATACGAAAACTCAAAGCTCATGGATGCAAAGATTTTAACTGAGAGTAGCCTTCAGATATTTCTAAAAGCAACTTCATTACATAAAAAAAGCTATGATGAATACACACTATATTTTAGGAAAAAAATAAATGAAGAGGCTTTATTAATCTGATCATAGTGGGAAAACATTTTTGCTAGATTAGCCACATCCTGGAATCCATGCACTTATTGGCCTTTTGGTTCATGGCTTTATAGATACCGTTTTCAGAGCACAACACCCTGACACTAACTTTTAAACAAAGCTTCCAATGATGCCTCTGCTTTACACCCGCCCTCAACGCCCTCCACCTGCTGTCAGCACAGAGAACTCGACTGCTGGGCAGGCAGGGCCCTCTGCTGTGTCTACACTTGGAGCTCAGGGCTTTGTCATCTGCTTCCCTTGTGTGTCTCCACATACGCTTCCCCATTCGCTCACCGCTCAATCGTCCCCAACTCCCTCCAGGGATCGTCCTACCCACAGAGGGGAGTGCTGGCAGGGATCCTGTGTCCACCTGCCACAGAGCCGGCTGCCTGCTTGACGGGGACTACTGTGGACCCCCCTACCACTCTATAAAGTAGGTACCATTCTTCCGTTATGGACGAGGAATCTCCAAGCCAAGGCTCATCCAGTGTGTCAAGATCACACTGAAACTAGCAGCAGCGTTACAACGACAGCAACACTGAAGTTTCTGATGCTGTACGTGCCAGCACGGCCCCAAGCCACCTACACACGAGGCCGTCCCCCCACGACTACACAAGACAGGGACCACTCTTCGTGTCTTGTGGGACGGAACTGAGGCACAGAAAGTTAAGTACTTTGCAGACGGCATGCACTCGTGATTTGAACCCACAGGTCAATACAATTCCAAAGTCCAGTTTTTTCCTGCTTTATTTCAGAAATCCACATCCTCTGAAACACCCCATCTTACTGCCTTGTGAAAGACTAAAGAGACACAGTCGTGTTTCTAAGGTTCATCACATCATGCTTAGAACTACTACTCTAAGCTTTTGAGATCTATGGGAAAAAATAGGAAAGAGACTTTATTTATCATGAGTTACAAGGGACTTTAAAAAAAAACGACCCAGAACATAATCCCAAAAGTTTATTTAAAAATGCTAATGGTAACCTAGAAAATACATTAAGTATGTTGCTCAAAACAAAAGGGTCCAAACACAATGTTTCCTTTAAGCTCTGTCCAAACCCAGCTCTTAGGCTGTGAGCTGGATCACTTCCCTAGAAAAGCAAGAATACAGATCCACTGGGCTGAATTATTCATCCACTCTTCACTTTCACAGAGCAATCTAAAAGGACTACAGGCTGTGGGGCGAGCTCAGCTAACGATTCAGAGGGAGCGCTGGAACAGAAGGAGAGCTCACCTTTCTGAGGCCTGATGATGAAAGACTGCGTGGCCCCGTGCACCAGCCGGCAGTACCCATCTATCAGGTCGGCCATGTTCTCGGCAATGGTCAGGGACGGTGCTGTCACCGTCAGAGGCTGGACAGGGGAGAAGACCCAGAGAGAGCCGTTATTGTTCTTTCCAGTAATCAAAGGGACAGCTGCACTATGACATCAGATCTCTAGATACACTTGAACACAGAGTGGGAGCGAAACAAGATCTGTCATAAGGTTTGAGTGAAAAAGGAAGTTTGATATTTAAGGATGTTATTCCTAGAATATGTGACAGAAGGCAAACCCAGGCAAAAAAAGAAAAATCACTTAAACCGAGACTCCCTTTCTAGAACAAAAAGAGGTGAAAAAACCACTTCCTTTCAGAACGTCTGGTCCCTTAGGCACGCTCTAATTAAGAAAAGAATTTAGAAAATTAGTAAGCTAAAGTAGAGCTTATTTTAGAAACTAGACAAATGTGGAGTAAATTTTCATCAACCATCATCGTAATTCTTCTGACATTAAAGAAAATTAGTGGAATTTCATTATTTTGAGCATGCACAGCATGTTCTGCTCCAGAGCTTAGAAACCACACTTTTCAAGTTAAACATGCAATTATGATAAATTTCCTTAAAACCTATCATTAAATGTTATCCAGGAGATCATCAAAGCTGTATCTTACTTTCAAACACAAGTATGTCCTAACTCATGTAGTCTACATAACCTCCTTCCAAAGGGACAACTTATCTCACCTGCAGTATCCTAAATATTATTTGAGGGTAGCAAACAGAAAGGAGGACAGCCTGAAAATCATGGTGCAAACAAGAAATTACTGAGATATTTTCAGGAAAGTTCAATTTGCAATACGGTTTCAGTATTTCATGGCATCATTTGTTTAGTTCTGAGAATCCACTGCCTGGAGCCTAGAAATGCCGCGATCCCAAGGCAGCAGGAGCAAGAAAGCGTGAGGAGCACCAAAAACAAACCATCCCCGCAGGGGCCGCAGCAGAGCAGAGCCCAGGTGTGCGAGTGGGGCCAGGTGAGCCCCCAGAACGGGCTTCACCCACGAGTAAGCCTGCGTGTGCCGCCAGGTGGTGCAGACTCTTCGGTATGTGAGTATTCTCTGCCCGTCTTTCAGAAAGGTCACCTTATGCAGTGTTTGCCAAATGTTCATATCTCGTGCCAGGCCTGCCTTTACTTTCCACACCACGTGCTGATTAAGAAGAGGCTCCGGGTCCAGACTGTCTGGGATGAACTCCATGTCTACCACCTACTAGGACCGTGGCCACCATCCTGTGCTTGGTTCCCTCATCTACAGACTGGGGGTAACCAAAGTATCTCAAAGTGCCTCTTCCGCTGGGTTCTGAGGATGCCGTGTGTTGCCCTTGGCTTCTGTGTTAAGTGTCGGACAGTGGGGACATATGTGGCACAAAGTACCAGCCGCTGCCGCGGTTATTTTCCTAATTATTACCCCCCAGAGAATGTCACATACTGCACAGTCTGGGAAATAACACTGTAACATAGTTTACAGAATTTATATAATTCGAAGAGGCTGATTTTCTTGGTAATTCATGATAATCTTCCAGCATCTCCACAATAAGGCTCCATTAATTTTTAAACCTGTTTTCTATTCTTGAGGGCATTTAATCATTATTATTCGTAATGTAACGCTTATTATATTAGAGAAAGCTGTGATTCTGATGACCCATGAATACTTCACCTGCAACCAGAAACAATCATCATTTCTACAACAGCACTTTATTTTCGTCTTCCCATCGTGACGCACGTGAGCCCTCCTTACCTCAGGCGCTCCTGCAATCTTCAGCTGCAGTGTCCCCTTCCTGTCCTTGTCTTCGCTGTTTGAATACTGAATGGTCTGCACTTGATTGAAGTCGGCCAGGTGTGTGGGCTTTGGGAAGAAAAGGCAAACGCTCTGGACCACAGATGCAAGACTCACGTGAGCTATTCTGTGCAGTCCTCACGGCCCCAAGCCCACCTCATCCTCCTGAGGACACCTCCCTACACGGGATGTCTGAGGAAACCAACTGTCCATGTTGCCTGGGGCCCATTCTCCCTCTGAGGAGCAGTCATGGACCTGCTAGGGCCACCTGCTCACTTCACGGTCAGGGATGTGTCTGCTCTCTGTGCTCCTGACGGCCGAGGGGCACTCCATCCTCAGGAGCTGCACAAGTGGTCACCAGTCGCACACGACACATGACAGAGAAAGGAAGAAGGGAGTCCCCGACCTGACTCACCCTCTGGCCTGGGGGGAACCATGTGAAATTCTTGGCCTAAGGGAACATTCTGCTCCACTTCTCACAGAGAGAGGGACCTGTTCCCACTCCCAATGCACCCTGAGCTAGAACAAGTCTCTGAAACGTTCTGAAGTTCCAGAGTGTAACAGTGCTAGGGAGACGCTGGGTATCCAAAGGGCCCTTCCCACACAGACAGGCCAAGAGAGACACTGTTGATTTTCCCAAGAGGAGTAAACTCTTTTTTCTTATGCAGACAAAACATGCCCATCCATCTTTCATCCTCTACCATTTCATGACAACGACCGGTTCGCGTGAGACGATTCCTACAGGTTTATCCAAAACAATCGGCCTAGTTAGGACCTCTTTCTCTTAGAACATCACAGTTATCAGCCCCTCCCTGCCAAGTGCCCCACTCAGCACAGATAATGCCACTGGGACTGAGCCGGAATTACGGTTCAGAAGGGGACTCCTACCCCGCGCCCCTTCGCAGGGAAGCGTCTCTGCAGCACTGCTCTCAGGCACTGCTGTCAGGCCCCCCGCACGGACGCCCACGGGCAGTCCTCCATCCCCTGGGCAGCACACAGCACGGCCCCCACGCCTGGCCTTCTCTTGGCCTCTGTGGCCTCTGCCCTCATGGGCTTTCCTCCTCCCTCCCTGGCTCTCTTTCCATTTCCTGGCTTCTCCCCTACTCAACCCACAAACGTTCAGGTGCTACAGGGGTCTGTGCTGGGCCCCGTCCTTCTCACCAGCTGTGCATGGCCTGCCCAGCGAACACCAGCCAGTCCTGTGGCACAAGTACCATCTCCAGTCCTGAGCTCAGACTCAAGTATCCCACTCCCTACGTGACATCCTCGCGTGGACACTGGAGAGAGACTGACCGCACACCCAGCACAGTCACAGGGACCCCCCCCGCCCCCCGCTCAAAACACCTTCCCCCTCTAGTCTTCCTCACTTCTACAAAAGCATCACCATTCAACCTGGTTCCTGAGTGGAAATATGAAGGCATGATTACTGACTCCCCTCCTTCCCTTACCCCACATCCAGCCCAGCTCCCAACACCCAGAATCCATGCATTTTCCCTCCATCCCCACGGCCACCACTCCAGTACAAGCCACTGTCTTGCACGGTGCTCAGAATTCATCCTGCAATTGTTTCCCAGCCAGTGTCCCTTCATCTGTGTTCGTCCTCTACACAGACAGCCCCCGGAAGCCAGGGAGGTATTTTAAAATGTAAATCTGGTCCTATTAAGTCCCCTGTAAAAACGGTACAAAGCTAGCCCAAAGGAATCAAACACCCACATGATCTGACCTCTGCCTGCCTCTCTGACCTAATTCCCCACCAGGACCTCGTCTTGATGGGATGTGCTCTGGTCTCACTGGGGCAGGGCCATTCCCTGGGGGTTGTTTTCAGCTGACCAAAGAACGAGGAACATGAATGAGGACCAGGGCTGTGAGAGGCCATATAATGTGCAGGAAATTCCCACATGGTGAAAAACTGTCTTGTGTCCTGAATGGCTTTCAAATATCCTGGTATTTATTCATGCTGGTGAAAAATCTGATTCTAGAACCCACATCTATTTTAAAACACAAAGTATGCTCTGCATGGAATTTTCCAGGAATGCAACTTAGGTGTAATTCAGGGAATATTACACTTGCCTGTCTTTGGAATGTCACTATGAGTCGCTCACCATTTTGGAAAAGGACATCACCGAGGGCGATGCTAGTCTGATGTTTGAGCTGCTGGCACAAGGTACATACACTGTCACAGAGGAGGCCTGAGGCTCCTCCTAACACACTGGGAACCAAATATCATTAAGTCAGTGGCGACACATGAAATGAGAAATATCTCAATTAGTTTCAGTAAATGGTTATATTAAAATATTCCCATTACTGGCATCTTACAATTTAAAAAAATTTCCAAAGCACAAAAAGAAAGTTGAGTTATGGAAATTATTGTATTTAACTTATTTTTTATTCCTTCTCTTAACCCACTGTTTTTCTGCCTCATTCTGACATTATCCCTCAAGGTCGGCCACATAAAAAGAATAAATTTTAAAGACGTACTTAAAGGGAACAGCAGAAGAAAAGAATAAAAATAAGCAAAAGATATTAGGAAATGGAAATCTGTGAAGATAAATACTGAAATTAATGAAGACAGATAGATTAATGCTATAACCCTACCCGCTAAGCCTGTCCTTCAAAAGCAGCTGAAATAAATCCTTTGCAAATCTGAAAAGAAGAGACAAATCCAAACAGACAAGCTTAGGACTGAGAAAGGATATAGAAATAAAGTTACTGGAAAGATCGTAAGGGTATCACGAGATGCAACTCCATGGCAACAATTTAAAAATGTAGAAAAGCAGATGAGACGCTAACAGTATGAATTACCAAAACTGACACAAGAACTGGAAAACCTGAATAGATCTATTACTACTGGAGAGGTTGAAAAAATGGTTAAACACCCACCATTGAAAAAGGCACCATGTGGTTACATAGATTGATTCTATCCGCCTTCACAGAACACACAACTCTACCTTGACTTAAAATATTTCAGGCCACAAAATGATGAAAAGCCCCCTAATTCGCCTGATAAAATTAGTGTAACTTCTAATATCATGTCCTCATAGAGCTAATATAAAAAGAAAAGACTAGATTGATTTCACTTATAAATAGTTGCAAAAATTCTATATATTAGCAAATACAATAAATCACTATTTCAAAAGAATAATATAGCATAACCAGTAGGAGCTATTAAATGGCTCAATATCAGCACATCTAATCAAGATAATATACACTAATAACAAATTAAATTAGAAGATACTATACACTGATAACAAATTAGAAGATACTATACACTGATAACAAATTAGAAGATAATATACACTGATAACAAATTAGAAGATACTACACACTGATAACAAATTAGAAGATAATATACACTGATAACAAATTAGAAGATAATATACACTGATAACAAATTAGAAGAGAAAAAACCAGGATCATATCATTAGGGCTGAAAAAGCCTTCAGTTAAATTTAGTAGCCACTCCTAATAAAAATGCTAAGCAAAGAAAGGCATAATTTAAAAACATGAAAGATACTTTACTAAAGGGACTTTACTGGTGGCGCAGTGGATAACACTCTGCACCCCCAATGCAGGGGGCCCAGGTTCGATCCCTGGTCAGGAAACTAGATCCCACACGCATGCTGCAACTAAGGAGCCCATGTGCTGCAACTAAGACCCCACACAACCAAATAAATAAATATATTTCTTTTAAAAGATACATTACTAAAACCCAACATCAAAAATTATCCTGAATGATGACACGCTTTTTTTTTGCGGTATGTGGGCCTCTCACTGTTGTGGCCTCTCCCGTTGCGGAGCACAGGCTCCGGACAACACTGATAACAAATTAGAAGATAATATACACTGATAACAAATTAGAAGATAATATACACTGATAACAAATTAGAAGAGAAAAAACCAGGATCATATCATTAGGGCTGAAAAAGCCTTCAGTTAAATTTAGTAGCCACTCCTAATAAAAATGCTAAGCAAAGAAAGGCATAATTTAAAAACATGAAAGATACTTTACTAAAGGGACTTTACTGGTGGCGCAGTGGATAACACTCTGCACCCCCAATGCAGGGGGCCCGGGTTCGATCCCTGGTCAGGAAACTAGATCCCACACGCATGCTGCAACTAAGGAGCCCATGTGCTGCAACTAAGACCCCACACAACCAAATAAATAAATATATTTCTTTTAAAAGATACATTACTAAAACCCAACATCAAAAATTATCCTGAATGATGACACGCTTTTTTTTTGCGGTATGTGGGCCTCTCACTGTTGTGGCCTCTCCCGTTGCGGAGCACAGGCTCCGGACACGCAGGCTCAGCGGCCATGGCTCACGGGCCCAGCCGCTCCGCGGCATGTGGGATCTTCCCGCACCGGGGCACGAACCCGTGTCCCCTGCATCGGCAGGCGGACTCTCAACCACTGCGCCACCAGGGAAGCCCGACACACTTTTAACTGATAAATTAAAACCTAAAACAAGATAGGGATATCCTCTACCACCCGTTTTTAAACATGATCTTCAAGGTGCCTGTGAATATGAGAACAGGAAAGAACTGCATAGATTAGAGAAAAAAGTTAAAACTCTTCTTTTTTTTTGCTGATTATATACCTATAAAATCTAAGATTCTAAAAAAAAGAGTTATTAAATGAACAAGGTTGCTGAATATATGATAAACAACAATCAAGTATATTCTGCTATGCTCACAGTATGAATTTTAAATTGGAAATGGCCCCAAAAAATTTTCCCAATAAGGCCAAAAACTCTATAATACTTATGAATTAGCTTAATACAAAAAATCTATACGAGGGCTTCCCTGGTGGCGCAGTGGTTGAGAGTCCGCCTGCCCATGCAGGAGACACGGGTTCGTGGCCCAGTCCGGGAAGATCCCACATGCCGTGGAGCGGTTGGGCCCGTGAGCCATGGCCGCTGAGCCTGCGCTCCACAACGGGAGAGGCCAC